CAGTCCAACACTCTAACTGCTAAGCCACGACCTGCTCATATTACGAGGAAGATACTCTTAGAATATCAAATCATCTAATTAATAAGTAGGAATACAAATGAAATTATATATCATAAATGTGAGAGTAAAACAAAATCTGGAATGTGGTATGAGAAACATTATACCAACGAAAATATTACCATATGACATACTATACGATACACAGGATAAATTCCTACTCAAAGTTATGTCATAGAAGACGTTTAAAGATATCACTGATTATGCCATAGAATGACCCCTCCATATTATGTTCCTTTATACAATTTATGTACAATATTATATCACAAACAAGATATACTATAGATTAATAAAAAATACTGAATGCACTTGGGAGAATGACGTACTGCCTTAAAATTATTGCAAAGTAACGTGGAAAGACCCGTAATAATGATTTAAATCACTGGTTAAATCAACTGAGAAACAAATAATTATGGAATAATTACTGATCAAATTATATGGAAATGCGCACTAACATAATAATAATAAATATAGTTTAAAAAGGTATACAACGATCAAATGACATGGGAAACGTACTGTTTATTAAATAATAGTTGGAATCACATAATATTATACAATTATTATTATTTTGTTTGTTTTCGGATATTCGAATAAAGCTACTCAAGTGCTATCTGTAGCAGCCGCTCCTAATTTTAAACTCATATACTAAAGGGGAGGAAGTTAGTTAATACTCTCCACTGCTAACTTTTGGGATACTCTTGTTATACCGAAGAATGGGATTTAACTGTTACTCTTATAACCCATCATGGCCCTAAAGTAATGAGTGCTGTTTTTCTTTTTGCTGTAACGGGAAGCGAACATTGGAACCTCAAATCCATAGTCCAACACGCTAAACTCTCAGCCGCATACGCATGGTCCATATAAAAATGAATTACAGTAAATATATCATAACTTAAAGAATATTTGTAACAACATTGTAACACCCAACCCTGTGAATCAATGTCAATACACACGTATTACCATTACCAGTTTATTATATAAACTCATTAGCATTTTATTAAACAAAGCTCATTGGTTACAAATGTTTTAGGAATTAGAAGGTAATTGTATTTGTTAACAAATTATAGATAATCCTTTCAGAAAAATCAATATTATTATCTTCACCAGAAGATGTAAATAATTCATACATATTATTTAATTTTTTTTTCATCTAAGATATCAAAATTTCAAATTGCTTTAAAAATACCTTTGAGCTCCTTGAATGATATAATTGGTATTAATGTGTTACACTAGAATTTTCTTACTAATAGTTCTGAACATATTTACAAGCTATAACAACAACTATTTTTAACACCATTACAAATGTTTTGTGACTGTTTCAAGGTATTGCTATAACACAAGTATTGTGTTATTTCCTCAATAAAGGGTCATTTTATATGTTAAGGTATGTTGTATTACTCTTCTATACACCAGAAGTTTAGAAAAAAACAATACACATAAAAGAACATATTTTTATTTCAACCAACGTTTCGCCTTTGCGGCTTCATCAGGGTTAATATACACAAAAAGACCATGCAGCAATATCTTTCAGTTCTATAGCTTTGTATCAGACACACCCACATATATTTATCAAGTATTTCCAAAAGTTGTCATTTGGGATTATACATTAGTCAATAACCGACATCACTCACGTAAACGATTTTAACAGTGACAACATTTTTAGGCCTGAAAGAGAAAAAAGCAACAAAAAAAAAACAGTCATTGGGAGTGTACGAAAACCAAAAGTATGAAGGTATTTGATCAAAAGGAGGTTGAGTTTTTTCTTTTTGTTATATCTACGTCTGAACTATGAAATTTATTTTCTTGTTAAAGACCAGATTTATCTGAAAGAATCAATATTTTATCGTGTTAAAAATTGTTATTATAAGCTCGCTACAGTTTTTCTCGCTTCAATGATACATTGTGGAAACCATGGCGAACCTTACACAGATTTACAATAACAACGTTTTTTTTTTATGTTTGTACATGTATTTTTAATCGTTACTTATTATTCGTATGAAAGTAACTTGCAGTATAGAAATAATTATCAATTTTGAGAAATACCGATAAATAACAACGTAATGAACAAATGCCAGCCACATTTGGGCTGTTTAAAAGTAACGGACGCCTTATATAGATAATAAAACCTATATAGTTACTGCAGAGGTTTCTGGCCTATTGCATTTTCAAATATTAGGTGCACTGGTGGATTTTTTCAAGGAAGACACGTGACCTTTTATTTGTAAAACTTTTATTATTGTTTCTAAGAAAGCTGTACTCTGATTTGCTACGACCGAGTAACTTTCGATAATTAAATTATTGTTAAACAAGATTCGCTTCATTAATGAGCATATTGCACATTTCTTAGCAGAAATTTAAATGAACAAAAATATTGTAAAGCTTTACAACTTGTGAGATTTACTAATTTCTGAAACTTTAGTTACGCGCAAGGTAACAGGCGACGTCAAGGAGGAATGGAACAGAGTTTGTAATATATCTCAGCTTAATAAGGTAAAGCCAAACACTATAGCTAAGTTAAACATCAAAACAGTGTGTTATACTTGGGATTCTGAAAACTGTAAGTAAAACAGAGGTTTCGTTTTTATATTTGAAAATATTTGTGTTTACTTGGAAGCATGAGATAATGTTAATGAATTACCGTTAACGTTATTTATAGTTTACGACTACCAGATGCGGATAGTTACCACCTTGTTTACAATACAGTCTAACATTATACCTAAACACTAATGTTCATTCTGTTGTTTCTGGACAGTTTGAAATGAAAATCCAATAGTTTGTTTGTTTGTTTTTGAATTTCGCGCAAAGCTACACGAGGGCTATCTGCGCTAGCCGTCCCTAATTTAGCAGTGTAAGACTAGAAGGAAGGCAGCTAGTCATCACCACCCACCGCCAACTCCTAGGCTACTCTTTTACCAACGAATAGTGGGATTGATCGTCACATTATAACGCCCCCACGGCTGAAAGGGCGAGCATGTTGGGTGTGACGGGGATTCGAACCCGCGACCTGCAGACTGCGAGTCGAGCGCCCTAACCACCTGGCCATGCCGGGCCGAAAATCCAATATAGCAAAAAATGGTTTCGAAACTCGCGATGGTCACAGCACAGATAGTCAGTCCATGGTGTAGTTTTGCGCTTAATAAGAGACAAACTCATAAAGTAAAGAAAAAAGGTATCGTGCATTCTACGTATGGGACTTAATGAAATTATACAAATGTATCATTCATTGTAAGGTTAACATACATTATGTGGGTTAGCCAGCTGGTGGTAACTTATTCTATGAGCCCATAATATATATAGCTAAAGTGATCCGCTTAAACTGTTTGCTATATATATATATATATACATATACACATTTTATATATTATATATATATATATATATATCTAGGGATGATATTGAGTATGATGTTTAGAGTTCGTACCAAATGTAAGACATATGCGCTCAACGTACGAAACGATTGAAAACGTTAAATGTTCCAGAAACTGGAAGCCTTAACCGAAGTCAATATTCTTCCCTGTTTCAGAAATTAACCTCCATCCTGA